CTCGTTACAATAACGGGTCCCGTTGACTGAACCTGCGTCGAAGATGTGAAGGTCTGTACGACTACCAAGCATGATGCCTTCCCAAACGAGAACACCGCCACCTCCATACCTGTCCCTTTCAATGATGTTCGAGGGATGATTGCGGCTTCCCCGCTCTCTCCAGATGAGTACTCAGACTGAATCTGCTCTCATCTGTAAAGAGTACTCGTCCCCATTCATTGCCTCTCCAATTCCGGTGTTCCCGGCATCACAGAGAACGCCTTCTCCGATGGGCAGGCGTTAGAGGTACACACCGTACAGGGCGTCGTGCAAACAGACCACCACCGTGCAGTCTTCTGGCCACGGTAAAACGCGATATCGGTCGTCCAGTCGCCTGTGTCGTGTGTCTAGCGATTTCTCCCGCTGTCTGCTGCCTGTTTCTTCTGGCCTGTAAGGCAATATACCGGTCATCTGCGGGTGTGGTTCCTCGTGGACGACCACTACTAAACCCCCGGATAGCTGTTCCTGTAGTTTGAAATTGTGTCTAAAGTCGTGAAAAGATGCTGTGAGCAATTCCGAACTCTGCAGCCACACTTGTCACACTGCGACCTTCCTCCAACTTCTCAATTATTCGACCTCGGGTTAAAGCATCCAGTCTAACAGATTGATTATTCGCCATTTCTCGCTGAGGCAGCAACTCGGTGTGATTTTAACTGCTATACGGCGTGCAATCTCTTTGCCAGAAATACTGATCTTACACCGACAACATGCTTTATACTACTCAGACACTCCCCCATTACGTCTACCTGCATATCTGCGCATGTGCTACCGTACATCACCTTACTTAATCTCCTGATTGGTCTTTCTGTCCGCTCTGCCTCTTCGTTCAGCTGATATGCTAATTTTTCGACTTCGTCCTTAATTTTTGCACACCAGTGTAGTGTAAATCGCGCTTCATTTCGTATCAGTGCCGACGATTTCGATGAAAAAGGGTACCTTTTTAAAAACGAACTTCTTAACGAAGAAAAGCCGTTTTATGTAGAGCATAATTTCTAAAAATACCGTCAAATTAAACAGTAATCTTGACTTTAATGCTTTTGTATGCATTTATTGAATTGATTAATAAATGTAAATTCTACTGAAATTAATCTTAGGAGATAATATAATCAATATTTTTTTACTAAATAAATTATCATATATATACAGGGTGATTATAATTAAAGTTTAAGTTTAAAAACGCTATAAAAAAGAACCACTGATGAAAATGATGTGAAATTTGAAAGGAATGTTATTGAAGAAGGCGGAAAGCGTATGGCAGAAGAAAAAATTTAGTTTTGAAAGTTAGCCACAGATGGCGCTGTAAGCGGCCGAATCACGACGAGAAATGATTCGTAAAACAACGGCTAAGGTGGAAGTTACACATTAAAACGTATTGACAAATTAGAATTGTTGAATAATTTTATTTGCATGACTGTACATATCACATCGAAAGGGACAAATCGGTTTCATGAGTTTTGCGGCGACGTACCGCATAAGAACCATTCATCAAAGAAGTTCGGAACTGTCACGAGACTGGCGCAAAACATGTTCAATATGGTGTCCACCATTGTGTGCAACAAGTTGAAAGCGACAAACAGCATGTTCCCACAACGGATCGCAGTGTCTCTGGGGTGATGTTCAGAATGTGTGTTGTGAAATGCGTGCCTTTAATTCCGCTAATTTGCAATTGGAGCACGGAACACAACATCCTTCAGATATCCCCACAGCCAGAAATCACACACGGAGTAAGATCAGGCGATCGGGACGGCCAGGCTGTAGGGAAATGACGGCTGATAATTCGAGCATTTCCGAAATGGCGCCTCAGCAGCTGCTTCACGGTGATGTGCAATGTGCGGAGGAGCGCCATCTTGCATAAAAATGATTTCATCCACACATCCATGCTGTTGCAGAGCTGGAATCACGTGGTTGCGCAAAAGAGACGCATACCTCTGACCAGTGACGGTTGCGGTAACAGGATCGGAAGCACCCGTCTGCTCGAAAAAATATGGTTGTAGGATGAATGATGCCGTAAAGCCACACCATACAGTGACCTTTTCAGGATGAAGTGGTACGGGCTGCTTTGCCAATGGATTTTCTGTTGCCCGTATTCGACAATTCTGGGTATTCACGTATCCTCCTGTCAGATAGGAAATGGGCTTCATCTATCCACAAAATTTTCCACGGCCATTCATTATCCATTTCCATGCGAGCCAGGAATTCTAACGCAAACGTCTCCCTTACTGCTGTCAGGTCAGACGGAAGCAAATCCTGCACATAGCCAAATTTTGTACGGATAGCATTGCAGGATGTTCGTACAATTTTCAGCACCGTGCTCGTAGGCCTGTCCAATGTTCGGGCAATTCCTCGTGCACTGCACGGTTGCACACCACCGCCGCCGACGCCCCTCCTGTAATGCTGGGGCCACTTCTTCAACTACCGTCGAATGCACTCGTTTTCTCCTTCTACCAGATTGCACATCAAACGAAACCTGTCGCTTCGAATTTTTGCATCATTTTCTTTAGACATACGACAACACTCATTGGACCAATGCCTTCTTTTATACCCTTCAGTGTCCTGAATTTTTGCAGAGCTACTCTTGCACAATCATCATCACTCTTGTAATACAGCTTTACCAGCAGAGCGCGGTCCTGCAGTGAAAACACCCATGGCGAACGTCTGAGACGCAAAATGAGGAACAGCCTGGTACCTGACGGCTTTATAACACTGAAATTTAACTAACATTTTAATTTACGACGTCTTCTTCCGCTTGCAGCGCCATCTGTTGCTAACTTTTGAAACTAAATTTTTTCTTCTGCCATACGCTTTCCGCCTTCTTCAATAACATTCCTTTCAAATTTGACGTCATTTTCATGAGTGGTTCTTTTTTTATAGCGTTTTGAAACTTAAACTTTAATTATAATCACCCTGTATATATATATATACACGATCGACTTCTTTATAAAACTAAATAAGTGACATACATTACCAGAGAATTTATAGAATTCCCAAGACGTTTTACAGGGAATGAATATGCTATCAGCAAATCCCTACAGTCAACTGAGTTGTACCCTATTTAAAAGAACTGATTTACTGAAATCTTTGAAAAATTTTATCGCACGATTCCATCATGAATTTTTAACACGGAAAAAGAAGGTATTGCTATGATACCTTTGATATTTAAAGAAGAAATTCGCAGAGTATAAGAAAGGAAATGTTTTTGTTGTCTTGTCCATAATACATGGATCAGTGGTTACCAGAGCCTACTCCGAAGAGAGGTTAGACTTCTATTTTCCACCCTCCATTTTGAGGGAGAGCACCCCGGAGGGACCCAGGGTTTCCCACCCCTCTTCCCTTCCACACGAGAGGACTTTCGGCTCGCCGCATATTTAGAGTGCCACCATGCCACATCAACACTATACATTTACAAACATCCATGTCTTCTCCGGAAGTCGAACCCGGGCCCTTCGGTACCGTAGTAGGTTCCCCTAACCACTATACCGTCTGGGTGAAAGGAATTGTTTTGAAAGCAATAAAAGATCTAAATTCTTCATTACTTTCGTCAAAAATTTTGCTGCGCGAAAATTTTATATTAAATTCTTCTAATATTATTTCTGACAATATAGTAGCAGAACTAGCTCATAGAAATGAGTTATATAAAAATGATACAGAAAATTTTAAAATATTCCTAAATTTGCCGAATTTAGAAAAAATATAGTCTGCTTAGAAAAGTTTAAAATAGTTTTTAAATATGATATAAATAGTATGCATTTTGGCCATGAACTGGAACAGTTTTTATTATTTTTAAAAGAATATGAAGACAAATTTAGTTCTGCCACTTAAGTCTATCATGCTGCTAGGAAAATATCATCTACTTTTCCTAGTGGTGAAATTATTTAAAGAAATCTGCCGAAATTTCTTTTCTCCTGTGAAGAGGGAGCTGTACCTCTTTGCTCGAAATCGATAAAGTCTTTACTTAATCTACGTTAAACACAATTCTGTTGCTTTGCTTGATTTTATACCTCACAAAATGTTTTAGCAGTTTGATGTTTTACTTTCCTTTACCCCAGAATATTTAATTTTTTATGTAATTTTAATTTTTATGAATTTTAATCTTTCTATGCAGAGAAAATAATGTATGAATATTTAGAATTAACAAACCCCAAGTTGATTAAAATATTAATTATCTTAAGTAATTATGTCTATTTAATTATTTGTTACACTTCAGTATTAATTGCTTTTCAAGCATGTAAATACTTTCTTTAGAAGCCCCAAAATCTTTACTGCCACTGCCTCCTAGTGGCTTTACCCGCCTCTGAGCAGATACCTGATATTATTAATGGTCGCTAGCTGTCACGCCTCGGATATTAACCATCCACAAAAAATCAATCATTTAACGTGCCATGAACCACCCACCATATGTTGTTATCATAGCATTGGAAACACCATTTGGAGTACGATCCCATCTGTACCTGTTAAATTCCTTAAAGCATTTTATATTTTTATACTCACAATGTTTGAATATTTTTAACCTTAATATTCTACTTATACAAGTATTTTGGCACCCATTTAATTTTGCATTTGATATACATATTTGACGAACATTAGATACTTATAAACTAATGATCATTATCCTTTAAAGTATTTATATTTCCGATTTGATATTTAATTTACACACTGTCTGAATTTCTCTATCTACATTACATTATATTACATTTGTTACTATAAGCACAGCTTCTACAAAATAGATAACTTTTTAGTTAATTTCTCAAATGCAATTCGTACTCGTAACTCATCTTCACTGTTTTTCTGTTATTAATGACAGGTACCTTTTGTAATGCAAACTATTGTAAAGGCGCTTAATGTAATGTAAAATAAGGTTTATTACTATTATACTTTTAAATTATTTTAATATTTTAAAAATATAAATATAGTTATTGTACTATGAATACATAACTATTTACATGTATTTATATATCATATAGACTTTGGCTTCTACAAAGACCAGACAAAAATAGTACAGGACAGCAAATTGGATACATGAATCTGAAACCCCACCAAACTAGTAATGGTGGAATTTTTTCCTCTTCAACTTATGAAAGCCTGCAAGACGTTATAGACAGATTCAATGCCATGATTCAAACAAATCCTATACCAGGTATATTTTAGTACTGCTGGGATCCAAATTTTAACTGTATCGCAAATCCCAAATGATATATATAATTTAAAACTTCAGTTTTTTTTAATAGATTTTAACTTGTTTGCTTCATTAATTAATTATGGTAAATCACGCCGGGATATCTGCCTAAGGGAAAAGATGCCTCCGTGGAGAATTTCTAACAAATTTGAGTTAGGTTCGAACAATATTTTTTTCAGGATGAATTCAAAATTCGACGATTTTGTGCTGCTAAGATCTTCCTTTTAACGTCTGTTTATTAGATTCTTTTTATAATATTCCAAATTACATTATATTTTCTCAAATGTTGTGTTGATTCAAGGAAAGTCTTTGTTTGGAGATTAAAATGCTGAAATGAAATATATTTATGCTTCTCCAATTATAATTTTCCTCCCAATAATTGTTAGATTCTTTCTGTACTATGGCCTACCAGTAGCCGAGCGGCGAAAACACTGAACACTAGTTGTTCGACCCGGGTTTAAATTCCGGATCGAAATCGAACGGGCTGGCGTTTTCGTGGTTTTTCTGAAGTGGAATGTGAACTCGAACCCGTCTCTTTTAAAACTTCTCCTCGAAGCCATTGCTCCACTTAGGCATAGTCCCTTCCTGAATTTTACCATGATGTAAATAAGTAATCTTTGCAGTGTTGCAGTACTGTGAAAACTTAATTTTTACTCCAAAGTAATTTTAAATGTACGAAGCAGAAGTTCGTTAAGCAGAAATGTACGAAAAAGACTTTTAGAATTAATTTAGGAAGTATTCGATGACGTAAAGGAAAGCAGAAAAAAACATTAGCGGTGTTTCACAATGTAAGCCATTTGGCCATATTCATGCATGAGCTTAAAAAATGAGCAAAAAAGAATCTCTTTCCAGAAATAAAATGTTTCATGAATTTGAAGCATTGAAAGCCATTTCTTTTTGTACATATATAATCTTAATGCATTCATTTACCAATTCATTCATTGCATTAATTTGTCAATTTTTTTTCTTTTCCTTTTTTCTTGTTTCTGGATGAGTGTCTAAAATCTACTTTTGGAAATTAAAAATAATTTTTTAAAATTAATTTTGATAAATCTGCCCAGCTAGCATACGTAAGCTGCGCAATTCAACGTTTAAAGACAAAGTGAAGTAAATTACCATGAAAAATAATCCTAACTAACAAAATTTTGTACGCCACTTTCAGAAACAAGGTTTGGCTGGAAGTATTCGAAAATTTACCTAACTCGTAACTCTAGTTTTAATTACGCTCGTAATTTAGATTCGTTTTGTATATTGGTTAGCTTTCTTTTTTTTATCATATTTTTCTAAAGGTAACCAGTATGATACTAAACTGAACCCTAGTAAATATCCTAAAAACATTGCGATAGAAAATACAGGAACTAAATTTAATATACTTTTTTCAGAAAGTATTATCAGCTGAACTGTCTAATTTTAGTTGTGCATGAAAATAAGATGAATAATCCTTTTACCTGAAAGCATAGCTTTTGTTGCATTTCAAATGAAGAGAAATTTTGCATGTAGAAATTCGTTTTTGCATTTTTCATACCTTCTTTATTTTTCATTTGTCTAGGACGAATAATAACGATAGAAACTCAGGAGATGAAAATGAAAGGTGCAACGGACTTGGATCCAGACATATCAAACTGGAGAGAGCGTGGAGATATACGATCTAGGTTTCTTTTCGTCATAAGAATTTTTTTCGAGATTATGAAAGGACCATCTGAAGAAATAGGTAACATTTCGTAATTTTATTATCTTAATTCTGATTATGGTCAGTTATCGTTATGGTTGCGCTTTTAGTACTAGACTGGAGACACAATCCGGTTGTGTTAATAGAATAAATATGCCAGTTTCCAACTTGAAGGAACAGTCGGAAAATTTTCCAGTAACACATAAAAATAAAGTGATCTTCACCAAATTTAGTCTTGTAATTAGCAAAATATGTCAAATTAGTAAATAATAGGATATGTTATCCGCGTTGTAATAAATTCACGGAAATACTATTTTGAACTGAGTCTTTATGTCATCCTTAAAATAAACTGAAACTAGCATTTTGTAGAAAAAAGTCTTTGGACATCATTTATCAAATGGTTTGCAATGCGGTATCACTTTCTGTCCTTGGATTTCTCATTTTGAGAGTTTGAGGCAAAGAAGGCCTGGAACTCAGACTTCTTTACAAGTTCGATATAAGCAATTACCTAAAAATGTGAGTGTATTGTTTACTCCGACTTCTACGATGCTTTCTCGTTGCAGCTATTGGGAGTATTGCACCACTGAATAACGCAGTGGCATGCATCCCGGATGACAGTAAGATTTATTGGATTATGGCAAAGTTCATTGCAGTCATGTGTTAAGATGTTTAGGTTGATTGGTTTTAATGATGGCAAATCGTGACAGAGAGCTTTCTGCCGAAGGAGAAGGATTACTTCTTACAGGACTTTTTTAGCAAATGTCTAAGAAGAGGGATGTCTTCGAGGAGGATTAAAGTTCTTAGCGAAGGGCTTAAAACTGGCAATTGGCTCATATTCACGTTACGAAAGGAACACTGGCTCGTATTTATATCAAACATGCATGATTAGAACGTTACATATCTTATATTGCACATAAGGAGTAAACCGCGAAAACACTCATGCAATCACCCTGTTCTCTTACTTGACTCCAGATTCAGCCATCAGATCTACTTGATGATTGGTGAATGAAAGAATAAAGAGATGCTGAGCTGCTATACGGAACTGAACTGAGGAGAGAATTGTTTTTCCACTAATAGATTATTTAAAGGCAATTTTATAAAAATTTCTGTAGTTTCATACTCTTGCTTTGCTTTTCTTATTTTATGAGAACGTTTGCAAAATAAATAAATAAGTAAATAAAATGCAAATATCAAATAAATTATTATTGCAGTTTCTTAAATGAGAAAAATTTTCTTGGTGCGAAAAAATATTTCAGTGTTTTATTTCTGTAATTGCTTGGGAAGGCGAGATATAGAAGTGGAGAGATGGTCGCTTTGAATTCTTGTAGTTTATTCTAAAATGGGGTAATGAAACAAACTTCTAGAATGTCATCGATGGTTTTGCCAACAGGAAAACAAGCAAAATAGCTTTTTATTATGTTAGAATTAAAGTATTATTTCAAGAAAAGATGCAGATTTTTATTTTCCTATATCTCATTTTGACATTTTATAGATTTTTGGTACGCATTGTTAGGGGCGGAAAGCGGATCGCTCCTAGGCTGAAAAATTTCTATTTGTGCCATCGTAATAACGGCTTCGCCAGCCTAGACTCAATTTATTCGTACTGTTTGAAATGTTAGCGGCCAATAGTTTACATAGTCCTCATCTCACGTTACATACAGAGTGACAGAATTATGCCCGCAATCATATAAAATGTACTGAAGATAAGTGGACTTCCGTACTCCTCACAATGAGTTAAGATTGCGCGGAGCAGGCGTTTTTGGAATGGACAGAATCGGGTACCTCTTAATATCCTAGTAATATACCTCAAAGAAATTGCTACGACGGGGCTTACATAAAAGTTTAATTTATACAACGGGGCACTTGATATGTGGGTATCAGCCAGACCCGCCGATACGGCGCTATGGATCTATTGATATCTTTTTGAGACGAAATGTTATTTTTGGTATCAGCAAATCGATTAAAAAGAGATTTTGATTTTCTGCAATATTGTTTTGGCAGTCGCATTCAAATCTGCATTAAGCAGGTTGCTTCCCTCCGAAACTGTCATATACTTGTTTGAAAGCACCAAACAGATTTTTATTCTCCATTTAGCTTGCAAAAATGACAGGTTAGATCATATGTAGAACAGATAGAATGTAAAGGCAAATAGAAGAAGCCTAGTTATGCAGATTTTGTTACAGAATATGTGTGCAAATTTGGTTCACTGAGGTGATAAAACGGAGAACATGCAGATCCAGTGGGCTTGTAGCTAACTGAAGTTTTAACCCACGATTCTCGAGGTGATGTCAAGAGATGTTGGCTTTAAATTTGAAAATCACAAAAAATGCGGTAAAAATGCAAAGTTTGTAAAAGTTAAAGATTGTGAAAGTTAAAGAAGATGTTTTCAAATCCTATCAGAGTTTTAGCTTCATTCCATAGGGTTGTTGTTACTTATGTTCACTTGTATGACGTTGTCAGAAGAAGATCACGAAATTCCTTATGGCAAGGAGCCCTAGATTACGCCTGCCATTGGCAAAAGCCTTGAGCACCATTCAGGTGACAGTGCGATTTAGCTCAGTTCTGCCCCCAATTTTGATAGAGAGCACCCCGGAGGGGGGACGGGTCCGAGGGTCTCCCACCCCTCTTCTCTCTCAACGAACCACACGAGAGGACTTTCGGCTCTCCGCATATTTAGAGTGCCACCATGCTGTACCAGCACTATACATTTACAAACATCCATGCCTTCTCCGTAATTCGAACTCGGGCCCTTCGGCACGGCAGTCAGCGACACTAACCATTATAACGGTTGGACGGCATTCCGTAAGGTAGCGGTGTGAAGCGTGCCTGCATACTTGTTTTCCTCGAGATGAATAAGCGGTTGTGTTTTCAGCTGCTCCTAGAAGGGAAGGGAAATCTTTGTTTTTTGCATTTTCATAATTTTGTGTCCGAGCATGTTTAGTTTTAATTTCGGTTTGCTGACGTAAACTTCGCAACCTCACTACGATCCCAAGTGATTTCTACTTACATGCATTTTGCATTTTGGGTTTGCCCGTTTGTAGTTTATTTTCACAAACTAACCATCTGTTATTTCACAGCAGAAAAGACATTTTTAAGTGTTGAAGCATAATTGTTGGGTGTATCCGTGCTCCTGGCAACAATAGCATTGCACGGGTTCTCAATTTGCGCGGAATTTAACGATACAGATTCTGGCAGAAGACCCGTGCCAGACCGAAAAATGTTCGAGCAACTGCATCGGTGCCTTTGTGGAACGAAATCCTTTGTCACCGGCAAGGATGATACAGGGCGTGGTAGGAGTGTATGAACGCCCCAAACTGTAGAGGATTTTCGGAAAAGAGTGGAAGATCGTCCGCTTATTAGCACTCGAAAAGTTCCTGTGCCGTAAATGAGCCCCACTCAATTGTTTAGCGATTATTACGGGACGGAGGATTACACACCTCCTATATACAGGAAGTGCAAACTTTGACGCTTGAAGATTATGCACTTTGGTTTTTGAAACAGCTAGCAGTGCAGCCTGATTTCAGTGCATATGTGTTATTCACGGATAAATGCGCCTTTACTCGTGAAGGCATTTCTAATGTATCCAAAGCAATTACCTCTGGCTGGAAGCTTGTTTTCAATGGATCCACAGACACTGTGGGGTGCCTGGAAGCGAAAAAGGCCTATCTTTTAGCTAAAAATGGCTGTAAGATACCCCAGCCACATTTTCCTCTATCCAACCATGAGTTTAGTTCTGAGATAAAGGAGAAAGTGAGAGTCTCATGAAACAAAAGTATAAACTCCTTTCAACTGAAAAAGTGTGGAATACTGTTGCATTTTCGCCTATCTCAATGGACATGCCTCGTGCAGGTTTTACAGCAAATTTTCGACTCTCGAGAGGACATGATTTTCTGTACAAACACTTGCACCGCATTGGTCTAGTTGCTGATGATGTCTGTCCTCATTGTCGTTCGGGTGAAACCATGGACTTTCTTCATTTGACAACTTGCACTGCACTTTATTTCATTCATGACAACTTTACCAAGGCTAAATTTTATTGGGCTGCCAGAAGTCTCATGGCACATATCGCTACAGACTGACGTAGAAAACAAAAATCATTTCCGTCCTTTCTGCCTGCCTTTACATTTTTACCAGCTACTTTTTAATTATCCTGTGTGTGAATCCTGCTAAATAAGAAAACTGTAAAATATTTTTATGCTGTTTTAAGCCTAATCCTTTAATTCACATTTCCTTCAAGTTTCATCAAAATTATCCTTGTAATTTTGACTGTACCATAGACTTTTGACTGTACCTTAATTTATAAAAGCCAGTGTATACAGCACTACTATTTTCTATTTTTATATAAAATGTAATATTTAGAAAGGTAATAGAAATTGTAAATTATAACGCATTTATGATATAATAACGGTAAATATAGAAGAAAATGTTATGAATGAAAATTAATATGTATAATTAACTGTTTCCTCAATAATTTAATTCTAATATAAAAGCTTTTCTTATTTGAAGGGGTTGTTGACTTTATTCCAAACACAATCAAACAAGGAGGAATTTTTAGTTTTCCGAAATACGAACCATTTTCCAGTGTAGTTGGAAAAGCATCTAACTGGTATGCGCAGCAAGACAAACTCAGATTCTGCAACGCTCAGTCTTTGGAAATCAAAATGAAGATGGGTAAATACTAATGTTTGTGATTTTTTTAACGAGCTATCTTAACTTTAGTTCTTATTCTTCGAAATGCATATATAAGGATTCAAAAGCCTCATTTTGAAAGAACTAAAGATATGCTGCAATTCACTATTTCAGCTTGTAGTTTATAAAAAAAAGTAATGCACCATTTATAAATGAATTTTTAATAAACTCTTTTTTCTTAAAAAGAAGCTTCGTTAGTCAATGATATGTTTTCTGTTGTTTTCTACTGCGATCTCCCAACTCTTTAGCAATTTTATAATCCTAGCCTTATAGAAGTCAATTTCCTTTTAACCGAAAAACTTAGAAACTTATTCATGGGTATCATCTCGATCGTTATACGTTTTGTCCTTTAGGCAAAACTGCAGAGATTGAAACAAGTGTTAGTCTAATGGAGTACTATCCAATGAATATGATTCACTGGACAGTGTAGTAATTAAGGATTTCCCAGTTGAAGTCTTAGAATTTGGATTTTGTTTTATCAGTATTTGCATTATGTGGCTTTGCACTGTCTTGCTAGAGGTTTCCTTCTCTTCTTTTGATGAAAATTAATCGTTTGATGAGGAAATCTTGATACAGCAGCTCATGATGACATTTCGGAATTAATAATCTGGTTCCAATCCAAGACCGTCCTATATATATTATACTCCATACCGCATCACACACGAGGTATGAATCTCTTTGGATGAGAACTAGCTTTAGTTGCTGGAAGCGGGCTTTGGCTAGGACTCAGCTAATGCTACTTCATTGGAAACCCATTTTTTGCCATCTGCAATGATATTGTCTACAAATGGGTCAATCTTATGCTAAGTATTAAAAAAAAAAGGTAAATGGTCGAATGTTGGTTCCTGAGAGTTGATAAGGAACCAAAACTCCCCCCCACCACTTTTTAACTTTTCGAGTTCATACAAGTGGTTTCTTATAGTCATGTGTGATACCCCTAGCACGATGGCCATTCATCGTTAAGGAAGCATCTGCAAATGCTTTCTTCTGGTGACAGTTGTGTGCAGTAGGGTGTTTTTTTCATGGAAAACAGCATTTGCAATTGCTGAATATTTGATAGTGCAACGAGCTGCGGCACTTCACACATGTATCGTCGTGCCGCCATCGTGCCGCTGATGTGATACACTGGTGAGCGGTTATCCACAGTAATGGCGCTCCAAACCATGAAGTCACATTCTCGAGCTTTATGGCGTTCTTCAATTCTCGCACCATTATTAGGCCTGTCTCCGCGTTGTTTTAAGACTCTTGTTCGGCGACTATCATTGCAAAACTAGAAATGAGACGCGTAGGTGTGCATTACGCTGTACCATTGAACAGGCTTTGTCTTAATACTATACGCTCCAAAAGCATCGGCGGCTTTGCGTATTTAACAGTTCTTTTAAAGTACGACATGACTGCAAGCTGCTTTCGACCAATTATCTACAGTTTTCTTGCTTATATGGAGCCTCCAAAGCTTTCTGCACATTCTGAATGCTATCAAGATTCGTGCTATATGGGGCTGTCACCGCTTGCCTTCGGATGCGTCGATGTAAACGTACTAAATTTCGTGTAGATTCACAGTATCTCCTAGCAGGATTGATATTCATTTCTTTATCTTCTGAAAATTTTTTGCACAGTGGTTACATGTGGGTGTGTTTCAGCTAGGATCCAACTGAAGGATTGACACTTCGTTCGTAAGCTTAAACTAAACCCTTCGTAAAAGAGTCTTTTTGGTCACAGTTGACTTCGGCGTCATCTGTCAGGCGTTTGTTCAACTGCCTATGTCTTTGGAGACCAAATACAACTGAAAAATTGAGTTTCGCAAGGTGACAGAGAGTAAATACCATCCAATATTCTGCTGTTGCATATATCTGGACACTGGCAACTTAATGTATTTGTCGTAAATGGCCAATACCAATCGGTCACGTAGACGTCACATATGAGAAAAACGTTGCCCAAGGTGGCGATCGATTTTAGGCTAGCGAGGGATAACCATAGCAAGGGATTACCATACAAATTTTTCTAGAGAAAACCCTGTGGGGGGGGAATGGATTCAAGGGTCTTCCACCCTTCTTTCCTTACCATCAGACATCTCGAGATTCATTTTATATTTCCTTACCAGTCATCTCGCTAACTTATCACGTGACAAATTTACATTTCAGATCATTTATGTAAGACCTTTCAACTGAGGTTTTCTTGCAGTTTGCATGATCATGCAACCAAATCTTCATGATTCTGTGATGCTATGATGAGGCGAACTTGCAGTAATACGATTAAAGCCGGTGTTATTATTTTTGGCATCTACTTGCTAATTAAAAAGTGCTATTTAGAAATATTTAATTTTCATGCTTAGTGTGAAAATAGTTAAGATTTTAGTGTGGAGAAATCAAGCAATGAAATTGTGCTTGGAAAGTAAATATGCTACTTAAATTTTGTGGGATTACTTTTAAATGTCGAATTCGACACAAGTGTGACTTCCATTTGCTATCCTTGCAAAATTTGCAGGCCTTTCTTGTGCTATGATAATATGCACGAACTAATTTTTATTCTTAAATTTGATTTTTAAAGTGGTCATTCTCCAACGCCAATGTCAACCCAAACAAATTGTTGCAAGCGAAATCAATGGAGGTAAAATCAACAATACGTTTAACGAAAGCGATAAGTTAGAAGATGTTAAATTATTAAAGGAAATAATAAAGTGTTTTGAGTTTTTAATGTATCCTTTATTTCTGTTGAGAATAATCACACTTACTCCCCGGTTTATGATTTGATGTTATATGTATATTAACCGTAACTGTTCATATTTTGCTTTAGGTTGTATTGGCAACAGTCGTAGCAGTTTTGTTATGGTGTGATAAATGTGCTGTTCCATGTACGTGATTAGTTCTATCATTTAAACATTTAAGCCTCTACTTAATTATCATCGGCCTCTGATTCACCTTTTTTTTTTTTTTTTTCCCTAATCTTTACAGCAGCGCGTGGTTCTGATACTGAACACGCTAGAGGCGAAGCATTTATATTTGTTTGGAACGGAATCGCGCGTTAAGTGAAATTTGAAATAGCAGCACGTGATGAGAACACAAAGTATTGTGTTGAGCCGTTTAACGGTAAAAACTTTTCTCTTTTTAAGCGTCGTGTTGAAGCTGTGTTTTCGGCCAAAGAACTTGATAAATATTTAGACGTTGAAGAGGATAAAACGAAAGTTGCTGAAATCAAAGATGCAAAAAAGGCTTACGCATTGCTGCTAACCCTTCTAGATGATGCCATATTGGCGACCGTGTCGAGTGAATCTTCTGCATGTGAAGTTTGGAGCAGTTTAAACAATAAATACCATAAGGTGAGTGCAGTTAGTCAAATATTAATACGAAAGAAATTATCGACACTGAAGAAACGCCGAGATTGCAGTATGCAGACACATATTAACGAACTGTTGACGATCGTAAATGAACTGAACTGCAACTCTCGGGTGCTGAAGTCAAAGATATGGATGTGATTATTTATTTGTTGATGTCGCTACCTGCTGAGTACGACATTATTAAATCGACGACGATTGAGAACCAGCCAAATGAAATGCTTACGCTGGACTTTGTTATGCAAAGCTCTCTTGAATGCTGAAGAATTGCAAGGTGAGAGAAATTCTTACGATGCTCGTGTTTCTGACTCAAGTAATAACGTAGCTTTTAGTGCTGATAAGCGTGATATCATCTGCCACAAATGTAAAAGTAAAGGTCATATTGCCAAGCTTTTCAAGAAAAAATTAGTTTGTTTTGGATGTGGACGCTCAGGGCATTACAAGAAGGATTGCAGATTTAAGCATAAATCAGCTTACAGAGAATCGGCTGCAGTAACATTTATGGTTGGCGAGCCTGTTGGAAATTTCATTCTGCATTCTGGAGCATCTACACACATGTGTAATAAAGGTGAGTGGTTTGTAGAAATTAAACCTTTTTCTGGAACTGTTGCATGTGCTTCGAAAAATGATGTTTTAAACTTAGAAGGTACCTGGAACATAAAATAGAATGAAATATTACTTAAAGATGTGTTATATGTGTCTGAGTTCAACGGTCAATTAATATATGTGAAGAATATTCAAAAAGCAGGTTACAGTGTAATTTTTAAAAAATGATGTAGCTGTTATTGAAAAGAGAAATGAAAAATTTGAGTTTGCTAAACTCAATGAGAAAGGACAGTATGTGAGTCAGTTTGAACCTGCTAAAGCTTCAACATACATTGCAAATCATAGTGCAGAATTATGGCATAAGCGCATGGGACACTCATCTGATAAAATATTAAAAGAAATGGGTTTGCCAGTATCTGAGTCACCATCAAGCTTTTGTGAAGAGTGCATAATAGCAAAACATTCCAACACTCCTATGAACAAAGGCCCTAGAAGCAGAGAGCATGTGCCGATGAGAATAGTACACGCTGATATATGTGGTCCCATTGATCCACCCACTAGGGAAGGTGAAAAGTATTTTGCTGCAATCATAGACGATTTTTCTAGATTTACTGAAGTGCATCTCTTAAAGCACAAGAGTGACATAAATGAAGTGTTGTAATTCCTCCTAGAGCAGAATCCTGATCTCTACAAAATCCGGTGTGATAATGCCAAGGAATACGTGTGTGGGGAACTAGCTCGTTATTGCAAGAAAAATGGTGTTATGATAGATCCTGCTCCTCCATATTCACCTCCTTTGAATGGTGTGGCTGAGAGAGCCAACAGATATATTTTAGAGAAGGCAGCCGAGCTCTAATATGTGAAGCAAAGCTTTCTAAATCCTTTTGGGGTTATGCTGTACAGACAGATGCATATCTTAAGAATATAATTCCAAATAAGACTGTTGAAAACCTACCTTATGAGCTCAAACATGGGAAGCCGCCTGATTTGAATATTATTAAGGTGTTTGGATCTGATGCATACATGAGAGTTCCTGATAACTTAAGGAAAGAAATTGGATCCAAAATCAAAAAAGAAACGTGATTTTTATTGGATACTCTACCAT